AGGAGGTTTCCTTGCCCATATGTGACCCGGTACCATGAGACTTCATGAGACTCTTAGGACTCCAAGGGCAATGTCCTTGCCCCTGTGTATCACTGAGCCACCACCTTTGATATCACTGTCCTACCTACATGACAGGACGTAGCCAGGGATGGTGATGGTGGGGCAGTTGTCTAAGGCAGGATTTGATGAGTATGGCTGTCAGGATGTTATTTGACTTGGGTTTCCGAACTAATACCCTAGTGATAATACCACTAGGCCATTTCCTCTCCATGATGAATAAGTTTAAAGTTACTCTCAAAGGCAAACAAGGCAACTACAGAAGGTCCACAATTTACAAACAGCTGATTTAAGAACAGTCTTGCTTATGAACAATATCTCCATGCATAGTTTTAGTTTTTAACCACTTGATATACAAACATTTCCTGTACTTACTGCTTTCCACTGACCTGCATTATGTTCTGACTTTCAAACATATTGACAAATCCAGAACAGGACCTGTTTGAAACCCAAGGACACCAATTGTTGTAAAAGCAAATCTGGTTCACTCATGGCCTTTAGGGAAGGAAACCTGTCATTTTAAGCTTACAGCAATATGGCTAATTCTTAATGGTCTTCTGGAATGGCCTCACAAGTCACTCAGTTTAAGCACGTTTATAAATAAGCAACAACTGCTGACCTTACTAGTGAGAGCCAGTTTCCAAAAACAAATTTCTTTTAAGAACATACAAGGCAGTTCAAGAGTGAAAGGTTGGTATGCCGTAATCCAGCTGGATGGAGATTGATCAAATTTGAGTTGGGCATATCAACCAACATGGGTCCAAAGCAATAAAATTAGTTCGAGATTCAGGTCACTCAATGATGTTGCAGACGCCAGGGAATGAGAGGCCAGTTTTTCTTCCTATGTCCAAGGGATAACATGATGACGAGAAGAGAAATAGATTGAGGTAAAATATTATGAGGGACAGGATAGCATAGTGAGTAAAACAATGATCCTTCCCATGTGGCCTCTGTTTCACAGAGCTTGGCTGGGTGCTTTATTAATCTTCTAGGGAATAGAGGTTTGTGTATCACAATGAATCATTAGCCTGATTTTACCTCTGTGACTTTGAGTGAAAGCTGAATATTTTGCTCTTTCAGAAGATTTTTTTTGTGTTCATTAAACAAACATTTCAAGACCCCACTGATCAAACATAGCCCAAGGTCAGATGCAGAGTAAAACTCCCACTACAATACCCATCAAACACTCCCAGTAAATGTTTTCTTCATCTGTTTCACACCATCCTGGCTTGGAAGCATTGCTTTTCCTTTACTGTTATAGAGTCAAAATGCTGGAACATGCCCAAAAGTAACTTGTGAAGAAAATGACGACTAGTCACAACATTAGGGAGAGGATGAAGAATCAGCCAATTGGGTAATGCGTTTACCAGCATTCTCATTGATCGTGCGCGCAGGTAGATCGGGTAGGTGACCAATGGCTGCAGACTAGAGTGAGGGACTATGGGTGATAGAAGGTCAGGTGATTATTGCCATCACAGAAATACACTACCAACCTGGGTCAAGCTGGCAACTGGAGACAACCTGAATCGAATATTCACAGACCCTGGTACGTGATGGAGACCCAAACACAAGGTTATTGAGATAAAGTGGTGAAGAAGAGCTGTTAGTGTAGTGACAGATCCCAAGCTGTTTCCAAGGTGGCGATGCTTAGGGTAGGTGACCAAAAGCTCAAAGAGGTAGGTTTTAGAGTGTACCTTAAAGGAGGATAATGATGGCGAGGTTCAAGGAGGAAATTCCAGAGTTTGGGGCCTATGTAACACCAATAGTGGAATGACAGTAATCCAGGATTGTTAACAGGCCAGAATTAGAATGTTTTTAGGGACAAACAGGTTACAGAAATAATCAATGCAAAACAGGGTTAAGGAAACTATGAGCCTTTTTGAATAAGAAAATGTAATGATTCAACTCATTTTGTCATTATCAGGTCAAAACAACCACAGCATGCACGTGGTACTGAGGAAGCTTTTGTAATTTACTATGATTAATATATTGACTAATTCTTATTCTAGAGAAACATATTAACACCAAAAGGTGTTGGAGCAGAAGTAGGCCATTCAGCCCATCGAGTCTGCTCCACCATTCAGTGAGACCATGGCTGATCTGATCATCCTCAACTCCACTTTCCTGCCTTTTCCAATCTATGTCTGCCAACATACTTGTGGGATAAATTTTTGACCACAATACAAGGCCTTTTTCTGGTCTGAGCACAGGAGTAAAGATGTTTTGATGCAGTTGTGTTGAGCCTTGGTGAAACCTCCTTATCTAAGGAAGGATATATTTGCCACAAAGAATGCAACAGAGGTGCACCAGATTAATCCTTAGGATATCTTTTGAGGAGAGAATGAGGAACTAGGGCTATATTCTCTAGAGTTTTGAAGAAAGAGAGGTGATCGTATTGAAACTTACACAAGTCTTTTGAGTATGCTAGGTGAATGGAGATAGAAGCCGGGATGGGGGGGTGGAGACGTCTTAAGTCCAAAACCAAGTGACCTAATCAGTGGTCTCTCTAAGCTGCTGCACAGCAGCTCCGAGGTTCCACGCATGCTGATCAGTGCACCAACACATTGGCTTCTGGTTTTGGAAGTCATGCTGCCACACAGGTCTCTGAGCTCCATGCACTGAAGAAGAACATTACAGAGACAATTGGACCCAATCCCAGGATAAAGATGGAGATGAGGAGGAATTTCTTCGCCATGAAGGTGGTAGTAGGCCAGAAGGTTGTGGAGGCACAGTCAACGAGCAGGTACAACATAAAAATTGCGTGGGTTCCAGAGACCCGGTAGGCAAGCACCTGGAGATACTGCAGGCAGGTGGCACTGAGGAGATGGTCAGCCATGATCTAATTAAATGGCAGAACAGGCACAATGGCCTTCTCCTGTTTCCATGTCGCCCCTGATCTTCTTTGAAGTAGTGCCAAAAGATCCTTTAACCCCATCCATTTGATCCAGGCAAACGGGATCTGGGTTTGATGTCTCACCGAGGTGGTACCTGTGACTGTGCAGCATTCCCTCACTGATTTCAAGGCCCTGGAGCATAAGCCATGGTTTAATGCACTGAAGGCCTTTAGAGTGGGACTTGAATCCAGGTGCCCGTGTTTCAGAAGCAAAAGTTTTTTTAAAAAAATTCATTTGTGGGACATGGGCGTCGCTGGCTGGGCCAGTATTTATTGCCTGTCCCTAGTTGCTGCCTTCTTGAGCCGCTGCAGTCTACCTGCTGTGGGTTGATCCACAATGCCATTAAGGAAGGAATTCCTCTCTAATATCTAGTGAGCGCCAGTGGACCCGCAGTCTGAAGAATGTGCGTCACCAGGCGTGAACATGGAGCAACCTCCAGCCGCTTCTGACTGATTTCTTTTTCTTGTCTTTCCCCAACACCGCACCCCACCCACCCCCACCCACCTCCCACCTTCCCACGCACACCTTTGCAGAAGCGGAGTGTCGAGGGGTGCCCGTGCGCGATTATTACCAGCTCCAGAGGGGCTACACCATCTGCCAGAGCACTCGGCGTGTCTCCTGGGTGGCGTGCCAGGGATCGTGCCAGGGTCAGGGTTGCTGCATCGAGCTGAGGGTGAAGAGACGGAAATACACCTTCGAGTGCAGCGATGGCTCGTCCTTCACCGAGGAAGTGGAGAAAAGCACCAAGTGCGGCTGTACCCGGTGCCTGTAGCTTCCACCGACCCCCTGCCCAACAGAGTATATTATATATAATTAAATAAAAACACACCCCGTCAACAACATTGCAAATCAGCAAGATCGACAGAGGACGGTGACTTATTTGTACAATTAAACTCGTTTGAAACAGCCACAGAAAATATAAAGGAAGAGAATCATCTGATCCGGACCTGAGATAGAAACGTACATTCAGAAGAGCAGAAACTGCCGAGTTACTTTGACAGAGCTGGAACATCATGGGTCCGGGCCTGGGGCTACAGGCAGCAGCACCAAACCAAGGGGAAATCTTGGGAGAGGAGCAAACACAATCCAGGATGCTAACACTGTCTGTCACTTGTCTATCTTACATTCTTGTCTGATGTTAAAGGGGAGGGGAGGGGGGAGGGTTTGATGGGAGGGAAGGGGTGGGACGGGACGGGTTGTGGGGTTAAAAATCACACCAGCTAAAGCAAACCAAGTAAGCTGTATCACTTGTGCATGTCATACGGGAATGAAGGCTGTCTTTATGTTCCAAAATCCTTCAGTGATTCACCCCTCAGCCCATTTCTCATTTTATTAGGAGACAACATAGTGGGAGATTTAGTCTTTATCTAACTCCGTTTGTATCTGTCCTGGAGCGTTTGTTGGGGACAGTGTAGAGGCGGCTTTACTCTGTATCTGACGTTGTGCTGTATCTGTCCTGGGAGTGTTTGTTGAGAAAAACATGGAGGGAGCTTTACTCTATATCTAATCCTGTGCTGTACCTGTCCTGGGAGTGTATGATGGGGACAGCGCCAAGAGAGATTTACTTTCAGGTTAAAAAAAAAGAGTATAGGGAGCTGTACTTTGTATCTAACTCCATACTATACCTGTCCTTGGAGTGTTTGATGGGGACAGTGCAGAGGGAAATGTACTCTGTATCTAAACCCATGTTGCACCTTCCCTGGGAGTGTTTAACAGGGACAGTGTCAAGAGAGCTTTACTTTCAGGTTAAAGAGTATAGCAAGCTGTACTTTGTATCTAACTCCATTTCAGACCTGTCCTTGGAGTGTTTGATGGGGACAGTGTAGAGGAAGCTTTGCTCTGTATCTAACTCTTTGCTGAATCTCATATTGGATAGTTGAGTATTTTTTTCTCTATAACACTAATAACCATCATCCCAAGAGCCAAAAATTCTTTCAAATGAAAAGTCACACAGAAGGGAAGTTGAGTGACAGTTCCAACCCATCTCAAACTGTCCATGAGCCCATCGGGATTTGATGTCTCAAATTGTCACCTAAACCCCTCCCCCCCCCCAATCACAAGTCACGGTCACACGTCTTGCTGTAGCATTTATCTGACCCTCGATTTTAATACAACACACACGGTGTGCAGTGTCAGCAGCATGTAAGCAACGTGGGGCATGCTTGCCTCTCAAAGATAGCAACATAAGCAGAGCCCTTGTATGATAGAATAAAATTCAAACCAACAAATATCATTCCTGAACGAAATGCTTTACGAGTTTTTCTTTCAACAATAAGATGCTTGGCTCCCTGATTTTGTTGTATGGTTATAATATAAAATAAAGTATTATTTAAAAAGAAAGCAGTCAGAGCTTATACTTAAAACCGCTCAGTAAGAACATAAAAGGTAAAAACCGAAAGAACTGCAGATGCTGTAAATCAGGAACAAAAACAAAGTTGCTGGAAAAGCTCAGCAGGTCTGGCAGCATCTGTGAAGGGAAAAAAAGTTAATGTTTTGGGTCTGAGGAAGGGTCACCGGACCCGAAACGTTAACTAAGGACATAAAGGTTTTGTGAGGACTGAGATGGTTTGCTTACTAACGAGACTGATTCAGCCTGGCTATGGTGGGTATTGCATTGGAGACCCCACAATTGACCTAGGCCACCGACCCTGCATTTCAGTTTTTGTTCCCAGCGACGTCCATTTTGCTTAAACAAATATGTTTCGCACCTCTCAGTCAGTAGTGTACCGGAGGGAAGGAAACACTGGTAGCACCCTGAGAAGTTAGAATTGTCAAACCTTCAGGACTGTCCCCAGGTCGCCAGGAAAGAAAGATTAATTTCTAGGACATCTGCTGTGACCAAAACCAAAAGACAAATTGTGGGGGTAATGAAGAGTGTGCCTGAAATAACCTGCCTTGAATGTTGTTTTATTATGAGTCAACAACTGTTGCTGGGCAGAACTCCTCTAGCCTGCTTCCTGAAAGTCTTTAAGTTATTTTAGTTCTCAGGAAGGGTCACTGAACCTGAAACGTTAACTGTAATTTTTTTTTCTTCACAGATGCTGCCAGACCTGCTGAGCTTTTCCAGCAACTTCTGTTTGTGTTGTGTTTGAGATATTTTATGTCCTCTTTAGGGGACAGGAGGAGGGGTCGCGATTTAACATTACCTTCAACAGATTAATAGGGAAAAAGGAAGAAACGGACTAAGGTTGGGGGGGGCGGAATATCTTTTCCACTTCTCTCCATTCCCGTTCAATGGGTGTTTAAGATGTTAAGTCCAATGCACAATCTGCAGTGTCTGCCACATGCAAGGGATGGTACTTAAAGCATTAGGCTGTTTGGAAGTTTCTGCAAATCCGCCCACCCATCAACTTCACCTTCACACATTCCTGACCGAAGAATACAAGAAATAGGAGTAGGCCATTCAACCCTCAAAGCCTACCCACCGCCAATAAGATCAGCTCTTAATTCATCTAAACTCCAATGAGTACAGGCCTAATCTGCATAAACCTTCTTAAACTAACCCATTCATTCCTGTAATCAGTCAAGTAAATTTTTCTGAACTGTTTTTAATTCAATTATTTTGTGAAGTAAGGCAATAAAACTGCACACAATACTCCGGTCATCAAGACTGCATTTGACTGAGTGTGTATCAAGAAGCCGGACGAAACATAGTCAATGGGAATCAGGGGTATGTTGGAAATCAGTCATCTCAGCTCCAAGTTATCTCTGCAGGAGTTCCTCAGAGTTGTATCCTTCAGCTGTTTCAATGAACTTCTTTGCACTGTAAGGTTGGAAGTGGGAATATTCAATGATGATTGCATAATGTTCTGCAACATTCTCAACTCCTCAGATATTGATGCAGTCCATGTCCAAATGTAACAAGATCTGGACAATATCCAGGCTGACATGTGGAAAGTAACAAGTGTCAGGCAATGACTAATTACAACAAGAGAGAATCTAACCATCATCTCTTGACATTCAGAGATATTACCATCACCGAATTCCCCCGTTATCAACATTCACCAAAAACTGGACTAGCCACACGTATATATTACACTTACACACACAAACAGTGCACAGTGGCTTTGGGGCAGGAAACCTGCAGTGAGTAACACAACTCCTGACTCTCCACTTGCCTGGATGAGTGCAGCTCCAACAACAGTCAAGACGGCTGACACCATCCAGGACAAAACTACCCACTTTACTGGCACTACATCCACAAGCATCAACTCCCTCCACCACTGACGCTCATTAGCAGCAGTGTGTACCATCTACAAGACGCACTGCATAAATTCACAAAGCTTCCTTAAACAGCATCTTCCAAACCCACGATCAATTCCATCTAGAAAGTCAAGGGCAGCAGATAAATGGGCACACCACCACCTGCAACCTCCCCCGCTCCATGCTACTCACCATCCCAACTTGGAAATATAATCACCATTCTTCAGTGTTGCTGGGTCAAAATCATGGAACTCCCTCCCTAACAACCTTTATGGGTGTATCTACACCAAATGGACTGCAGCGGCTCATCACCACCTTCTCAAGAGCAACTAGGGACTGGAAATAAACACTGGCCATGCCAGCAAAACCCATATCATATGAATAAATAAAAACTATGGTTATGCAGATTTTTATTGAATTCTATTTTCACCATCTGTCACGGCAAGATTTGAACTCCTGTCACCAGAGGGTGTTCTGGATTACTAAACCAGTGTCATTATGACATACCACTGTCTCCCAAGTTAACCAGATCCCTCTGCACTGTGAAGTTCCACATCTGTCACCATTTAAATATTATATTTTTCTCTACTTTTTCTGCCAAAGTGGCCAAGTTCAGTTTCACACATTATATTCCATCTGCCAGATTTCTGCCAACTTAACCTAAATCCTTTTATACACTCTTTACAATTTACTTTCACACCTTGGTCTTATCAGCAAACTGAGCAACTATACAATCAGTGCCTCCATCAAAGTCATTGATATGGATTGTAAATAGTTGAAGATTAATGTCCATGGTAATTAGCTGCAGCTTGCTCACCAATAGAAACTCATATTTATCCCTACTCTGATTCCTGTTTGCTAACCAAATGAAGACAAGCTCTCTCACGTTTTCAATGCCCCCGCCCCCACCTCCGCTCCCCCCTCCCCCCCCCCCCCCCCCCCCCCCCACCTCCCGCCAAATGGACCCAATTCATTCTGGCCAGTCACAGCCTTGAATCATTGAGAAGTTTGACCAATTCTAGGACCCTTAGAGGACATCCCTAAAGCATCCTCACTGTCCTCCAGGAGTCTCCTAACACAAGCAAATTCTGATTTGAAAAGTTACTTTGGAAATCTGGTGTCAGGTACTGGAATAACACTGAGCTGGTTCTGAGTGATTAGCACCTCAGTGTTGGCCATGGGAAAGGACACTGCCATCCAACTGCCTTCCTCAAGGGAAGGA